TGATATGGGATTTGTCATAAATCATACCTCAATGTGACTGCTAAGAGTCTAAGACTATGCTTCAGCCTTCAAATAAGACAAATAATTAAAACTGAATAGAAAATATCACTTTATTTTAACTAAATTAAAAATGAATGCCATGGTTAAATCTAAGAAACAAAAAGCTAACATGCTATTGAAATATTATATCTTGCCTGCAGTTTAGTTTCCTGTAAGCACAATAAATCAAAGTTTTCCCTTTTAGCAAGCTCAAGAGCAGAGAACCCCTCTAACTTCAGCAGCGCTCTCAGGCCGTTTACATTCCAAGACATTAGCTTCATACATTTAGTATTTCCTGCAAGTGGCGGAGGCCTCATGATTTGTGGATTGTAGGCTATCCACCCTTTCTGAGGCTTCTTGTGGGCAAAAATTGTCCATGGTTCACTTTGACTCATTGGAACATTAACTCCATCATTAGTGTCTTTGCCATCAATAACCAAAGTTGCTTTCCTGATTGCTTCAGAAGGCTTCTTTTCTACCAACATTTACCAAAATAAGCCATCTTAATTTAATTATTAGAAAAATTAAACCCCTCAAACTGATAACCTCAACCACATTTCAAGAGAAAGTAGAAAGTTCCTAAATGATTAGTGATAGCAAACGAGCATACTATTGCTGCAATAAAGACACTTAAGGCACCTGAAACATTACCCTCGATTGAAAGCTTCTTTCCTTTCATGACAATTTTAGCATCAAGTTCACCTGATAATGTCTTAGTCTTTCCTGTCACTGAGATGCTTTGAGCAGAAATGGAGGAAAGTTGTTCATCTTCCCAATGAGAACTTTCACCTACATGCTCAAAGGATATCCATTCTTAGGAAATAAGCAACTTACCATTGAACTGAAAGAGGTTCTCGGAAACAAGGAAGAGAAGAAAGAAATCAGAAAATGGGTAGCAGTCATTTCCATATTAAAGTTGATTTTCTTATGTTTCTCCATCTTAGCAGCTAAAAGCCAAAGCTTAATAGAACACTGAAAGAAATAATAAAAATTGATCTCAAAATTAAATTTGCATACCATCTAATTGCTTATCCAAATAAGTCTTCAAGGCAGATACAAGGTCACTCTTGCAACCTTTGGCAGGGAGGCCAGCATTCCTGAGAATTTAAAATCATAATATCAAAATCAATTCATACGGACAAAAACATTCATTAAGAATAGTTTAGACCGCAAACTGCACGGCAAACAAGGAACTAATCCAACCAGCTATAGCAGTTACATGCATAATGTCTTATCCCACAGCTTCTTTGTGGCTTATTCTCTCTATCATCAATGGCCTTAAAGAATTTAGGATATATGCACAATGCACTACTTATGTTCATGAAATGATACAATAAAGCTAAAAACTAATGATACGAAAACATAAACACCTAAAACAGAATCCATATGTCTCTTTTATGTTTATCCTCAAAATTTGTACATACCGCAATGCAGCCTTGAGTTGTTGAACTGTCATTGCATTGATTCTGCCAGGATCATTCATGATGTCCTGAATTTCACACGCACTACATTTAAACCACATTCTTATAAAAGCGTGAAAGCAGAAAATTTTTGAGATGGCAATTATAAGTGAGATCATCAACAACCTTAAAAACACCCTCTTTGGAATTTTGATTGGTACCCGCCAAACCTTGGTCTTTATTATCATTCTTGCCCTGCTCAACCACTTTACCTTTCCCGCCATTCCCCTACAATCCACCAAAACCCGAAACAATTAAAACCACACACCATCCAAAAACCTACAAGGCATATAAAGTCAACAGTGAGGTTGGTGGAAATAACCAAAGCAATCAACAACCATAACTTCACCCTCATCAGAATTTAGGTCTGCACTAGCTAATCCCTTGAGCTTCTTATCTGTCTTTCCCTCAACAGTTGATGAAGCCAACACGGATGAGTTTGAAAGGAGCCTCTTAGACCCCATTACTCCGACTGTCAAGGAGGAAAATGCCCTAGTTCTCAAACTCCTTGCTTTCACTGCAAAACTACACAGCATTTTCACTTTTAATCTCAATCTCTACTTTCTTCAACAATGGGAATTGAAAAAAAAAAAATTTTGAAAAATCCGGGAAAATTCTATTGGAGTAGGAAAACTATGAAAAGAAAAGAAAAGGGCAGAACCTGGTAAAATTGATGAAATTGTTGAACCCTAATTGAAATGTCATACACATTTATCGAATCGATCCCGAAGCTCTAGAGAGGTTTTACCGCCATGGCAAGTGTTAATAGCTGCCACAGTCCCTTGAACATGGTTAATGTGGGGAAGGGCAAGCTGTTGATTAAAACTGTACTTATTATTATTATTAGGTTTAAGTACCCTCAACTTTTTACTTTGGCACTAAAATTCTCCTTCACCTTTAAAAAGTACTAAATTTATCCTTAAACTTTCATTTTCGGTACAAAACAGTCCTTCCGTCAGTTAAATGACAGGTGGCACGTTAAAATGCCAGCAAATCAATTTATTTTTTGCTTAACTAATGACATGGAAAAAAAAAAGTATAATTGGCATTTTTTTTTGAGTTGACATTTTCATTTAATTTAAAAATAATAATTCTTTTTTTTTTCACCCACGTCAGATTTTTTTCTTCCTCTTTCATTTTCTCTCTCCTTTATCTTTCCTTTTCTCTTACCTTTGCAAACCCAGGCTCTGGGTTTTCTCAAACCACCGAGAAAGTAATGACCGTCGTCGTCGATGACAGCGAGCACAACGCCTACGCGCTGGAGTGGACGCTCGATACCTCTGCAAACCCAGGCTTTCGATTTTCCCAAACGGTGGAGAAGCAAGTGATGATCATCTCCGTCAATGATGGCGAGCACAGCCCGAGTGTGAGTGTGGAGTGGACGCTCGATCACTTCTTTGTTCCTCTAGGTGATAGTGCCTTGTTCAATCTCGTCATCATTCACACCAAACCTTTTGCTACTATTATTTTCAGCCTTCTTCTTCTTCTCTCAAACCCAGATCTGGGTTTTTCCCAAACCCAAATCTGGGTTTTTCCTTTACCCAGATTGGCCCGAGAAGATGATAGGCTCGAGAAGATGACCTGATGATAGGTCATCAAGTCCAGAGGTAGGCAGCAACAAGCGAAAGTATGAGGACCAGACGCCTCCGTCGTTCGGTGGAAGAAGGCCCACCGGCTTCTCATCTCCAGATTCGGTGCCTCGCTCTTT